AGACGTAACAATACTTTGGTAAACGTCATACTCTAAAGATGATAAACCAATTAAAAACGTTGTTAAAAAAGTCACATGAGAAACTTTAAGGATGCTAAATCAATCAAAATGCATATCATCCAAGCTCCTAACCCATATAAATTATTTTTTTGAGGGCGGTGCTACATTTGAGTATCAATGATTTCAGAAAGAATGTTTACTCTAAATTATTGTATATCGTGGCAATTTATCCCGTTTTTATCGGAAATCATATCAAAATGCTTACTCATCTAAACGAAATAGATGAAACGTTTACTGAAGATATTAGTCAGTAATCCAAATCTTCAGTACAGCGAGCTTTTTTCATACAGATGATACAGTGAAGAATGAAAAGAAAACGAGCCAGTTTAAAACAACATATCTCAAACAATGCTGTTTAAAATCGAGACTACATAGGGTGTTCATAAAATTATTTCAGATCCTAGTTCCTGAATGTTTGGCTGTTGTGCACGTGTATTGTCATCACTAAGTTGATGTAATGTTGTTTTTTAGTTTGGTTGTTGTTGTTTTTTTTGTTATATTATTTGGTGAAAATAAGGCCAACTTCAGTCCACGTAGCAATAACAAATTAGTTTATTTATCATAAAGGATACTATCACTATTACTTTTACACAATATTACTTCACAGATAACGTTTCCGTTTTCACCAAAGATTTACTCACTAATGATACTACAACTAATCTATACAAATATAATAGTACTGTCTATTGTATGTCCATGTAACTACTTCGCAGGGTGTGGATGGATCTCCACCAAAATTGGTATGGAAGTTTATTAGGTCTATGCGGAGGTGCATACAAATTTTCAGTTTTGCGGTTTTTATAGGTGTTTTTGCGTTTTTTACCACTACTTCGTCCCCCTCTTTATGGATCTTCACCAAATTTGGCATGAAGATTTGTTGGATCCATGCGGAGATACATACAAACTTGCGGTCTCATATTTTGTGCTTTGGAATTTTTATAGACGTTTTTTTACAATTACATATATGGGAAGTATCTTTTCATGTCCTAAAATAATCTTTCATTAATCATGAATTTACATAACTTCTGTCCAGGGTACAGGTACTCCAGCTAATGTATTGTTACGTC